ATTTTATCATATTTTTACACTTTGGTCTTATGTAGTAACCTTTTATTTTTTTTAAATACATGTGGACTAATGTTGTAATTTTCTCTTTTTAATTTAGCAGATTATTTTTAGGCTTAAATAAATGGTATAATTTCCTTTAGGTGACCCCTAATCTATTTTTTATTTTATTTCGATTTAGCCTTCGAATTTCGATAAGTTTTAATTTAGTCCCATTTTATATTTAATTTATTTCTTTTAGTTTAGTAATTTTATATTTATGCAATTAGGTCATCATATTTATGTTTATGTTTATTTTTATTTTATGTTGTTTTTATCTTACTGGTTTTTGTTTTTTATTATTTGTAATTTTAATTTTTTTTAATTAAATTGTTTAAATAATTCAATATTTCATAGTTTAAACTCTAATATTTAGTTTTAAATTAGATTAACATTTGAATCGGACTTAGAAATTAGGGTAACATTGTAGTTATTAATTAGGGAGCAATTCGAGTTGAATTTTCGCATAAGATGCCCCATTACTTGAACCGATCGCACGTTTTGTAATTTATTAATAATTAAAATTTTTTTAAAAAATATTTTAGGCTTAGTTCCTTTTTAATAAGTTAATTTAGATAATAATTAGGTTTTTTATTAATTAATCCTCAACTTTAGAAATTATTGATTTAGGTCCTTAAACTTGTAAATCTTTTAGAAATTGATATTTTTTAATCTTGACCTTTTTATTCCCCGAATTTCGATTATAACTTTAATATTGACATAATTAAATAGGTTAAATAGAACCTCCATTTTTAGCTAGATTTTGATATAGTACTATTAATTTAGGGGATAATTTGAGTCGGCCCTCACGTAAATGCTCGAGGGACCATCTCGGTTATTCGAGTCAATAATTGATTAAAATCAAATAGGATTAATATTAGAACATACATTTTTAGGTTTATGTCTCTAGGTTATTTAATTTTCATAATTTGACACTTTAAGATAGAGGAAGCCTTAATTTATTCTTAGTTAATTAGGATGAATAAAAGTATGTTTGATTGCATTCTATCTTCAAACCTAAGGCAATGTTCATTTATTAGGGAATTAATGGTCTATCTCCAGCAAGTATGCTCAGGAGGTGACTACTGGTGATTTCCGAAATTAGTCGACATCCTTTTCAAAACCACATCATGATTCTTAAAATTAAGACAATGTCTGGTCATTAGGCACAATAGTTGATTTCTCGCCTTTATGCTAGTGGACGAATCATATTAGTCTCAATAAATGGATATCCTTTTCAACTTTGCATCTGTAATGATTTTCAAATTAAATAAATATTGAACTCAAAATTTCTGATTCTAAATATAGGGCAACCAACTAGGTACCAATATTTGGGCGCTTGTGGGGGTGCTAATCCTTCTCTCATGCGTAACTGACTCCTGAACCCGATTTTTGAATTTTCGCAGGCCTAAAAACTTAGTATTTTGATAAAAATAAAATGTTTTATTAAAATCACCCGGTTTTTACGGTGTCCCAATCACACCTTAAATGATTGGTGGTGACTCCTCACATTTCGAAATTATTTTCAAAAAGAAAAACTCTGAGTCGGTATCGATCTTTCTCCGCCCGGACGAAAAAGGATTTCAACAACTTACAAAATCTTTATTAGTTAAATGGAAAGGTACGTCTTACGCAGTACAACATTCAAACATTTAGAAAGCGCCTTTTTTAGTTTGTGCTTTTGGTAATATTTCCTTGTTCAAAATTTAAATTAGAATCCATTTAAATTATAAAACATACTAGACATGAACAATTCCGTCTTTGGAAAAGCAAAAATGCTTGTGAAGAAATGTATTTTACATTTTCCAATTTTTTCAAGAGAATTTCCCACTTTAAAAAATAAATGAACCCAAAGATCCTAATATTTGCATCAAATGGAACCAATCACATAATGTGAATGAATCTAAATGTTCCGGTACACACACTAAACAAAACCAATCACATAAAATGATCGAATCTAAAAGTCTCAATTCTTACATCAAACAAAAAAAATCACGTAAGGTAAACTAACCTGAACATTTTCACGCCCCAAAGTGCTAAACTTGGATAATCATGAGATGTAACTATGACAACAGTTTCACATGGTAATACTCTTGCAACATCTCAATTAAATGAAAACGTTGATATCATACAAAGTTCATGCGAACTAAGAACATGAGATATCATATCTTGGCTCATGGATAGAATATACAACACAATAGTCTCTCATAAGTCTTAATTCTATAAATCTTACATCACATACTTACACCAATGTAGTTATAAATATTTTACAGATTTCACGCATATATATATATATATTGATGTAATTATGAATTTGTTGCAGATTTTACATATACACATTTATATTGACGTAGTCATGAAAATTTCAAAAAGGTTATTAATTCGAATCTTTGTGAAGATATCATAGCTTTTGTATTAAAAAGATGATACAACCTTTAAAAGGTGTAATGACCTTACTCATATTGAGTGAATATGTATGATTGGTGGTCATGTATAAGTTCTTTTAGGCAGCTATATATTTTAACCTTATTGATTACAAGAGATATGTGGATAACATATACGAGCTTTCAGATATGTTTAAGATATACGATCGTATGTTCCTTTTGACCGAAATGAAATATCATTGGGCTTATAGTGCTACTGAATTCTTCTGTGTAGAAACCTTTAATTACATTTCACTAATAAATAATGTTTTGATACTGATTGTTTGTGACACGTAAGATATTTAATTATGTATATTTCTTTATAAAAATATGTTATTTTGAGAATCAACTAAAAATCACTTAAAAAACAGTACGTTCACCATTTGAAAAAAACAAGGGCCAGTTATAATAAAAAAACCGACAATGGCAGTGATATTATGGATGGCAAGTAAGTAAACAATGTTTTTAGGCAGTAAATATCGATGAAGATCAACAAAAGAATTTTCAGCAGTCGTCAGTTAAAATGTCAATGCCAATTTGAACCTTGACTCTAGTTATTCCTAGGTTGTCTTTATATAAGAAAATCAATTATATTAATAATTTTATCTTATAATTGTTAATTCTTTATTGGAACTTTATTATTGGATTGTTTTCGTCAAATAAAACAATCTTAAAAACAAAGTTCATTAAAACGACTGAAAATGAAATCTCAAGTAACATTTTGGTGATTAGCACGTGATATTTGAAGATTAATCAATAAATAATAATTTTAGTAATCCATGTATAACATTTGAAGATTAATCAATAAATAATAAAGTTAGTTGGATTTGTTTTGAATATTTTTATTATTGCATTAATTCCAAAAAAACAATTTTTAAAATATTAAACAAGAAATTTATCTTTTTAAAAGATTAATTCAATTTTCGTAAAGCAAATTTCACGGATACTGCAAAGGCCTAATGCATTTTTGGCCCTCAAACCTGTCAAAAAAATTATTTTAGTACTTAGTTTTTTTTCTTTTTTTGACTTCCAAATTTTTAATTTTTATCATGTAAAATCAACTGATTGAACAAGTAATAGATCTATTGAACTATCATCAATTATTCTATCCTTTTCCCATGTTGACATTAAATATTTTATTATTTTCATTAAAAATTAAAATTAATATTCTTAAATTATAAAATATCTGAATAAAATTAGAAAAATACTAAAAGCATTGTAAAAAATAAATTCAAAATATTAAAAAAAAATATAAAATTATAAAAAGAATTAATTGTGTCGCACATCATTAAATTATGATTTTCATTTTAAGTTAGTCCTTAAACTTTTAAATATTGACCATCATTTTAAATTAGTCCTTAAACTTTTGAATGTTGACCATCATTTTAAATGAGTTCTTAAACTTTTGGACATTTTAATTTCATCCCTAAAATTTGATATTCATTATAAATTGTTCCCCAAACTTTTTGATCATTTCAATTTTATCCAAACTATATGTATATAATAATCACATTTATTGTTAATAAAATCATTCGGTAAAGTTATATTATTATATGTATGGAAACAAAATAAAATTTAGGTTAAACAATGGTTGAAACTTATTATATAATTGGATGAAATTGGAAGATTCAAAAGTTTCGGGACTAATTTAGAATGATAATCATAGTTTGGATATGAAATTGTAATATTCAATATTTTAAAGACTAGGTTAGAATTAGAGTCATGATTTGGATATAAAATTAAAATTTTAAAATTTTAAGACCAGTTTAGAATGAGATCGTATTTTAGAGACATTTGATACCAGTAATATTTATAAAAACTATTAAAGAAGGAAAAATATTGAAATAATTAAAAAATAATTATAGTCAACTTACTATGTTTGTTACTCTGTCCATTTGTTGATTTAATTTGATAAAAAAAATCTAACATGAAAAATGGAAAAAAAGAAGAAGGTTTTTTTATGTTCAATGGTCAAAATATCATTAAACCAATTCTAAAATCTAAAAATATAATAATATAGGTTGGGAGGGTCGCCCTCGCCTTTGCAATGCCCGATCTGAATTAATCGGTCAATAGATCGGATAACAGTGATTAATTCAATATATAATATATATATATATATACAACATTTTTATGTTCAACCGTTATAAAGGCTAGATTTCAGGGAAAATAATACCTACCATTATGACATTTATGTCAACATTTTTATGTTCAACCGTTATAAAGGCTAGATTTCAGGGAAAATAACACCTACCATTATGACATTTATGTCAAAAGCTAAGCCAAACTTTTTTATGCAAACCCAATTATAGTTTTCATTAAATCAAAGCATTAAAAGTACCTACTTCAAGTGAAATGGTTAATGTTCGATTTAATTTTTAAATGAGATTTTTTTATTTATTTGTTTTACTATAAAATATTTATGTATACGACACATATTAAAATATGAATATAAAAATAAATATATATGTGTATTTTATATATATTCATATTTGATAGTCATTACGAGTGTGCATATATAAGTATACCAGGTTACCTATATATATACATGCACTAGCCTATTCTTTGATATTCACAAGCCAAGGCAAAGTCTTCAATAAAGAAGTTGCTTTAGTCTATCATTCTCTTTATTCTCCGTTCCTCAATGACGAGCTCACTGGCTCTTGCTTCATGGTTGGTTTTGGTTTTAAGCCTTGTAATGGCGATTTCAACTACTCGAGTTGAGGCTGCCAGGGCATTCTTCGTATTCGGCGACTCCCTGGTTGATAACGGCAACAACAATTATCTAGTCACCACTGCTCGAGCCGATTCGCCTCCTTTCGGCATCGACACTCCCAGTCGTCGCCCCACCGGTCGCTTCTCAAATGGCAAAAACATCCCTGATTTCATCAGTTGAGATTTCTGTTTATTTTGTTTCACTGTGATGTTTTTACTGTTGTCTGTATTGTATGTTAAATTGGATCAATTTGATGTGTATATGCATATGTATGATCAGGCGATGCACTAGGTTCGAAGCCGACGCTGCCGTATTTGAGTCCGAAACTTCAGGGGAATAGGCTACTTGTTGGTGCCAACTTTGCTTCCGCTGGTATCGGAATCCTCAATGATACCGGAATCCAATTTGTAAGTTTTGACATTTCTTCCATTTCATAATGTTACTATTGTTATTTTTGTGTGTGTTGGTTTCTTCTGTTCATTAATCTGTGATTCCATGGCAATATGACACTGCAGATAAACATTATAAGAATGTACAGGCAACTACAATACTTTCAAGAGTACCAACGCAGGTTGGCCGACCTCGTAGGAAATGACAAAGCACAGCGAATTGTAGGCGAAGCTCTCGTCCTCATCACCGTTGGCGGCAATGATTTTGTTAACAACTACTTCTTGGTTCCATTTTCCCCAAGATCTCGACAATTTAGTCTACCGGATTATGTTAGATATCTCATCTCCGAGTACAGAAAGCATCTAATGGTGAATTCCATAAACCATGTTTTAAACTTGCCACATAAACATACATTTGTAACATATATTGTGTCACAGAGACTGTACGAACTTGGAGCGAGGAAGGTGCTGGTGACCGGCACCGGACCATTGGGTTGTGTCCCGGCAGAATTAGCCATGCGGAGCCCAAATGGTCAATGTGCGGCGGAATTGCAACGAGCCGCTGGCCTTTATAATCCACAACTTGTTCAAATGATAAATGGACTCAACAGCGAGCTGGGTGGTAAGGTTTTCATTGCTGCTAATATACAGCAACGGACCAATGATTTCATCAGTAACCCTGGAGCCTATGGTGCGTCAAATTGAAACCATATTTATATTTTTTAATTAATAGATTTAAGGGTAAAGTACATGATAGGTCCCCTAAATATAGGACATTACTTTGTCGAGTCTTCCAACTATTAAAAGTTACATAATGGTCCTCTAACTATAGAGTATTGTTTTGTTGAGTTCCTCGACTATTAAAAGTTACAAAATAGTCACCTGACTATTCATATATTCCAAACTCGTCATTTTCCATTAAAAAGTGATGAATGTCTGAGTTAGACATTAACGTGTTGACTGTGATATGATAAAATCTTATTCAATAATCATTTGATCTGCATAGCCGTTCGATATTTTGAGATCAAATTTTATCATATCTCACTCACTAAGTTAACATTAATCAATTGAGACAGCCGTCATTTTTTTAACAGAAAATAATGAATTTGAAACATATAAATAACCGGATAATCATTCTTATTGTTTCACACAAATAAATTTTCAAAGAACAAAGTTGTATCTTGAATGGATTATGGACAGGATTTACGACATCGAAGATAGCATGTTGTGGGCAAGGGCCATATAATGGACTGGGATTGTGTACGTCAGCATCAAATTTATGCCCGAATCGTGACGTCTATGCTTTCTGGGATCCCTTCCACCCGACGGAAAAGGCTAATGGCATTATTGCGGATATGATCTTGAAAGGCTCCCCCGCTTACATGAGCCCCATGAATCTGACCAGTCTCTTAGCTTTGGACACCGTTACTACGACTTAATTAATTACTTTTAATCTAATAAGCATGTCTTAATTATGTTGCTGCTGCTGCTTTGGTTGTAATTAATTACTCTCTTCATGAATTGTAGTGTAATGTTTTAAACTGTTTTATGACTAAAATATATTTAATAAAATGCTTTAGATTGCAAAAATAAACAGTAAATTTCTATAACATATTTAGCATCCTAAATTCACCAACTTACATTCATTATTATTGTGTGAGATATAAAAATTATATATTGTTGTTTATATGGATAAAAATGCTTTGAACACTTTTTAGGTCACACTGCAGGCTTTTTTCCGAAAAATCACCTTTTCCAAGTAATATTCTTAATCAGGCACCGTTCAGACTATATTTTTCGATCTAACATTCTTTGCAGAAAGGTGCGCCCCTACAGAGCGCTTTATGTTGATTTGGTGTCACGTGGGGTAAGGCGCGCCCCCTGCAGCGCACCTTATGCTGACATGGGATACACGTGTGTAAAGCGCTGCCCCTGGGGCACTCCTTAGGTATAGTGCGGGGCAGGGGCCACGCCTTACCTGTAAATCTGCCAAGCGTCAGAAAGGTGCCCCCCTACGGCGCACCTTAGGTATAATTACCTACCTACCCAGACTCTTCACACCCAAATCCCTCTCTATAAATACTCACATCCTCAATCACTTTCATCACACCAAATTCTCTCAATTTGTCTCAACTTCTCTCAATACTCTTATAATCTTTGTCTAAGGTATATTTTATTATATTTTAATATTTTGTATTTAATTATTTAAGTTTTTAATATTTAATATTTACTTAATTTTTTTGCATATATAAAATGGAAGACGGTCTACTTCGCTTGGATGGAAATCATATATCTCGACACTTTGCTGATACGGTAACATTTTAACGTTTTAATTTAATTTAAATTATTAGTAATAATTTGTTGATTTATTTAATGCATGATTATGAGATTAAGAATTAATTTTTGTAATTATTTATTTTTAGGAGAAGGATTGTGTATTAGATCCTTTTATTAGGAACCTTAAGTTAGTGATACCTAGCCGTGTCTTGCCGTATTTAGTATAGGCTGAATTCGGTTACATAGGTAGATATCAGGGTCACTGTAAGATAGAACCAGACCTTATTTCTGCCTTAGTAGAGCGGTGAAGGCCGGAGACTCACACATTCCATCTTCCGTGCGGAGAGTGCACGATTACACTTGAGGATGTTGCTATGCACCTGGGGCTTCCGGTGGATGAAGATGTGATATCAGGGATCGCGTAGGGTTCTTGGACTATTTTATGCCGGGAAAATCTAGGACGTGTCCCGGAAAATTTTAACGGTGGTCGGATACCGTTAAATTGATTAGATGCCAATTTTCGGGAGTTGAGTAAGGACGCCTCTGATGATGAAGTTAAAATGTATGCAAGAGCATGCATATTGCAACTGATAGGAGGGTTGCTGATACCGGATAAATCGCGCAACCAAGTTCACTGCATGTGGTTGCAACATCTTGGCGACTTTCATCTGGCCGGATCACTCAGTTGGGGCTCGGAAGTTTTGGCTTTATTGTACAGGGAGATGTGTCGAGCCACTAACTACAGGAGAAATGCTATCGACGGATGTCTCCTGCTGCTGCAGTCTTAGGCATGGTATCGATTGCCCTTTTTATGTCTCGTTGTCAAGAACCCATTCGTATTTCCGCTACTATTGATGTAATTATAAAACTGATTTCGTTTATTAATCATTTTATACAGTGTAGAATAAATTATTTTCCTTGAATAAGTGGTCTACTGATAGGAAAAAATATCAGGAGCTACCTGATGATTTAGAAAAAATTAAGGTGCTAATCGATCAGAAGGCTAGCACACAGGTATGCATTTTAATGTTTAAAAATCGATTTTAGATTATAGTTGTATAATGAGATTATTATTTTGAAAAAAAATATATATATTTGTTTTAGTTTGAATGGGTGTCATATTCTAATGATGATATAAGGATGGTTATCCCACCTGAGTTGAGGGCCCCATTAGATGTTTAGATGGCGATGGTCCCTTTGATCTGTTTTGCGACCGTCGAGTGGCACTCCACTGATCGCGCGCTCTGGCAATTTGGTTGTTTTCAACCAATTCCGGAAGCACATCACAATATGGACGAGTTGCATAGCACAGATAGACGCGGAAAGACCGATACAGATTGGCTGGTGAGGCATCATGAGTGGGTCGTGCTGTGGGAGGATCGACATCGGCGCCTTCCCCGTAAAGAGCCCATTTTTACTAACCTCTTGATGGTTGCTGACGGTTATTATGAGTGGTTCAACAGTAATGGGAAACCGTTTCTGCTTCCCAAGGATGCACAAGGGCAGACCTTTCCACGACGTCGATAGAGACATTCACTGACACAGAACCATCGTCCCCCGACTCATGGACGGAGAGCAGGTGCTTTCGGTTCATCCTCAGCTGCACCAGCAGGACCTTCACAGCAGCCACCGTCTACAGCGACTTATATATCGCAGCCATATGTTATGTCGCCACCGCCATTCCCTTACCTGATGCCGCCGCCGCCACCATCACCTAGTTTTATGACCTCGCCGCCGCTACCTTCACAGAGTTATATGACCCCTCCTGGAGGCTATTATGGGTCTATGTTTGCAGATCTGACTTGGGGTTCATATACTGGATATTTGGCGGGTTCAACCTCATCACCCATGGCCGCAGCACAGACACCTCCTGTACAGTTTTCACATAGCGATGTCTGGGTTTTATGAGTTTTCCCAGTTTTCGCATGCCGGTGGGATAGTCAGTCATACACCTCTAGGGTCCTTATTCTATTGAGGTGCTTCATCATCATCAGCTCCTCATCAACAAAATTTAGCTGCTCAGGACGAGGACTCTGACACCAATGCCAACGACGACAATGATGATGATAATGATGATGGTGATGATGATGACAACGAGGAGTCACAACAAGTGATATGAAGAAATCCTCCTCGAGACCGACAACCACCGCCTTGCGGAACACATTCGCGTCGCAGGCATCAATAGATTTTGTTTTTTTATTATATTTGTATTTAGTACTTTTTATTGTAGTTGTTTATTGGACTTTTTTATTGTAATTTTTTTATTATTTATCATTTAACACTTACTTTAATTCGTTAATATGGTTAGATTTATTTAATTTATTTGTTAAATTTGTTGAACTTTTTGTTAATTTATTTTGCTTAATTTTGTTTATTACCATTTAATATTAGTTATTGTAATTTGGTTATCATTTACCATTTAATACTTATTGTATCGTTAATAGCAGTTATCTCCTATAATTGTATCGTTTTTTAATCTTCATCAGTGGTTATCGAATAACATTAACTTGAAGTAAATGCAAATTAAAGTACAATAATTATTATTTGATAAACAACTACATCATTTCCATATCAATTGTTACTTGATGACAACAGAAGTGGACATATTTTTCTAGTGTGTCCTGGGTTTCTACAATGCCCACATATTCTATCTTGTCTAGATATTTCTCGAATATCCATATCGCAATGAATTCGATTGGATTTTGGACGACCATGCTCCCTCAATAAACTCGGATTTGGTACAATCGAAAGAAAATCTTGAAGCTCATCAGGGTTTTAGTCATTACCTATGGGGGAACTCAAATTCGTATACCTTAAAAACTTCAGATAGTAGGTATACGAGATCCACAAAATGGTTATAGTCTTGACGTGTATACGAGCAAGCTGCTATCACATGAGAGCATGGATACTTCAGAGCTTGAAAAAACCCGCAATCGCACGTTCTAACCCTTAGATTTACTCTTAACGACACAACTTCAATCCCTTGAAGAGGTCGCGGCAACTTTGTGACACGAAACATTTCATGCCTTCTAGAGAAGCTTGTTACAGACATTCCATTTGATGCAACACCTTTTTTAGATCTGCAACTAATCTAGTGTTATAGACATGACCGCCTTGCATCTAGGTTTGAGCTTGTCCCTCGAGCTTCGCAAAAAGTTTCCCCAAACAAAAATATGTAGTCTTTACCAAAGCTGCTACAGGTAAGTGACGTGCACCCTTTAAGGTAGAATTGATTACCTCAGCCAAATTGGTCGTCATGTGTCCATATCGATAGCCACCATCATATGTGTTCGTCCATATTTCTTTATCGATGAGGCTGATGTATTTGTATCCTTCCTCATTCTTTGCCCGTAAATCTTGAAGCATTGATTCAAACGTTCGAGGAAGTAGTTCGTAACCTGATAAAAAAATGTATAACTTACTAACCTGAACAAAAGGATCGTAAGAAAACAAACTACATAAGTTTCACTTACCCATGCTCACAAGTAATTGACACTCATCATTCTACTTGTATCTTCCATGGTAGTTCGCAGCAATGTGTCGGAGATAATACCTATGTTGGACAAAGGGTGGTTGCCACATTGGACCCAAAGACTCCATTGCTGCTTTTATCCTAGCTCCGCGATATGAAATGACACATATTTTTCCCTCGTGATAACATGTGCATGTAAATTTCGGAGGAAAAAACCCAAGAATCTGTATCTTCTCCTTCGACAAGAGCAAAAGCAACTGGAAGAATGTTGTGATTGCCATCTTGGACAATTGCCAATAATAAAACTTGCTTGTATTTTCCATACAAGAAAGTCCCGTTGATATGGACCACAGGCTTGCAGTATTTGACACCATTAAAGCACTGTGGGTAAGTCCAAAAAACCCGGTAGAATTGGCATCGATCACGGAGAACTCGATCATTATGGTATGCATAGGAGGTTTCGAAGTCCACAATTGTCCCAGGATTCAACATCCGCACCAGCCTAAACCAACCTGGAAGTTCGTTGTAAGATGAATCCCATTCGCCATGAAGTTTGACAATGGCATTTTGTTTTGCCAACCAAGCTTTTTTATAGGAGACAGTGTACGCATACTGCGATTGTATAGCTGAAATCAATACTGCAACAACTATATGAGAGCTTGCTTTTACCATGGACATGATGGCTTGACATATCACTTCAAATTCCAAGTTAGGATGATCTTGGTTGACCCCTCCAGCACAACATATGT